TGTTGGGGGTGGGGGGGGTGGGGTGTCAGCAGCTGGAGACTGCTGAGAACGATCCTGGGGTGTGTAGGGTGGGCGTGGGGTTGGTGGTGGGTGGCGGTGGTTGTTGGGTAGGCGGATATGTGTCACACAGACCGGATCGCTGTCCTCTCAAGTCTTGGAGATCAAGGGGGCATCTAACTGAAGGACTTGCCCCGATTGAAGGAATCTATTGGGTCAAAATATGTTGCCTTTTTTTTTTCATCCATTAACGGGATGAGGGCGTCGCTAGCTACGGCAGCACTTACTGCCCATCCCTAATTGCTCCCGAGGGGCAGTTAAGAGTCAACCACATTGCTGTGGGTCTGGAGTCACATGTGGTCCAGACCATGTAAGGATGGCAGTTTCCTTCCCTAAAAGTGATTAGTGAACCAGATGGGTTTTTCCAAGAATTGTCTATGGATTCAGGGTCATCATTAATCTGTGTGGAGTTTGCATGTTCTCCCTGTGTCTGTGTGGCTTTCCTCCCACAGTCCGAAGATGTGCAGGTTAGGGTGGATTGGCCATGGGAAATTGTCCCGTAGTGGGCACGGATGTGTAGATTAGGTGGGGTATAGAGGGATGGGTCTGGGTGGGATGCTATGAGGGTCGGTGTGGACTTGTTGGGCCGAAGGGCCTGCTTCCACACTGTAGGGATTCAATATATATTAAAAAATTAGACTCTTAATTCCAGATTTTTGCAATTAAATGAACAATCCCACCATCTGCTGTGGCGGGATTCGAACCCGGGTCCCTGGAACGTTAATGCTCGTAGGGACATCATCTGCCCTGTCAGTGTTCAGGTGGGATGTGGGGTCCAGCTCAAGGGGCAGAACCTGCAGATTGAATGTTTGGGTGGAGGGGTGGTGGTGTTGTTGGTGTTGGGAATCTGAGACTCCTCCCAGTGCCCCTCCCATTAAAAACATACTCACAGATAGAGGGAGTTGCCAATTGAATATTGCGAGCAGTTTTGGGCCTCGTATCTAAGGTAGGATGTGCTGGCCTTGGAGGGGGTCCAGAGGGGGTTCACAAAAATGATCCCGGGAATGAAGGTCTTGTGACATGAGGAGCAGTGAGGACTCTGGGTCTGTACCCGATAAGAGTTTAAACCGATGATGGGGTGGGGGGATCTGGTTGAAACTACAGAATACAGAGAGGCCTGGATAGCGCAGACGTAGAGATGTTCCCACGAGTGGGAAAGGCTAGGACCTGAGGGCACAGCCTCGGAGTGAAGGGGCAACCCTTTGGGACTGAGATGAGAAGGAATTTCTACAGCCAGAGGGTGAGGAACCTGTGGTACTGAGTGCTGGAGAGGGCTGTGGGGGCCAAGTCACTGAGTGTATTTAACACAGAGACAGGCAGGCTCTCGATTAGTAAAGGGGACCCAGGGTTACAGGGAGAAGGCAGGAGAATGGGGTTGAGGAACATATCAGCCATGACCGAGTGGTGGAGCAGACTTGATGGGCAGAATGGCCTAATTCTGCTCCTGTACTTTATTGTCTTAGGGAATCTGTGAATTCTGTCAGGCAGAGGGAGTAGGATGTTAATGGGAAGTGGGGGGGGCGGGTCGTTGGTCTTGCGGCCAGTGCAGAGGGGCAAGGAGATGGGGTGTGGGGTGTGGAGTGGTCCTTGAGATGTATCCTGACCCAGAACGCCTCCTGCTTTCAGACTCTGCAGATTCCCGAAATCTCCTCTGTGTTGGGATGGAGCCACGCTCTCGGACAAGCAACTCCGGCTCACCGCCCTCGACCTCCCACCCATCGGAAAAGGTGGGGGGGGGTGGGAAACAGGCCTTTACGTGGACCCCTCCCCACCCCACCCAGCTAGCGAGCCCCTGTCAAACTGCCTCCTGGACCCGGGCGGGGGGGCACGTTGAGGAGGCGAGAGGGAGCACCCCCCACCCAGGGAGAGTAGGGCTATCTCACTGACAGAGACGCTGGAGATGGGAATAAGGACAAGCCCCAGAAGGTGGAGAATCGCTCCGAGCTCTCTCTGACCCTCCGTGTGCGCCTCTGACATCCTGCCCCCGCAGAGGGTGAAGTGGAGCTGGGTCGGCCAGGGTCCCGGTTCCACAAAAGACGGGACTGCTAAGCTGCAGCCTCTCTCAGCTACGGCTTGTGAATCATGTATCGTCTCGCCGGGTTGGGGGGGTTGGTTTAATACCTGTCAGGGGCGTCGCTCGGGGATTATGAGAAATGAAGTTCAGCAGTGTGATGCCCACTGCAGTCGAGCAGCGGCTTGTGATGTCTGATGTTTCCTCATGGACGCCGTGAGGGAGAGGGGGATGAGGAGGGGAGTGGGGAGGTCAGGGAGTTGCTGGTGGGGGAAGATAGTGGGAAAGTGAGGGAGGGAGGTGGGTGGTTAGGAAATAGGGGGAGGTCTGGGGTGGGGAGAGAGAGGGTGAG